ACCAAATCTAAGCGAGCTGAACTTAAAAATATATGTCTTTTATTTGTATAGTAAAGTCAGCTATATTTATATATATATATATATTTTTTTTTTGTTTTATATTTATACATATATATGTATTCACACACAACAAAAAATAAATATATATATATATATATATATATATATGCATATATTTAAAGATATAAATTTACTTTGGCTTTCACTTGCTTTTTCAGCCTTTTTGTATACATAAAGTTTAGTTGTATTTGTTATAAAATATTTAAAATACTACAAAAAATTCAAAATTCAAAAAAAGCAAATGCGGTTCATATCGAACAAAAATAAATTGCATTTAAAATTATTTTCATACATTTTGTATTTTGAAATATATATAGAAATTCTTAGCCAAGCTGCATATTTGACCTTTTGTTATCAAATTAAATTAAAATAAAAAAATAATATAAATATAAAAAAAAATTAAAAAAATAAAATTACAAAGAAGCTAATATCTTAAACTATTTATGTTTTATTATAAAAGTTGTTACTGTTGCTTTTAATTGGTCATCCTACCAAAGGTAAATTCATGAAAAAATATATATTATATACATGCAAAAATTGTTTATTAATTAAGCACAAAAAGTTGTGTGTTTCAAATTCATAAACAATTTTCGTGGATAAATGAAATTAACTTTCGAGCTCTATTCCACTTTATGAAGTGTTTTTATTTGGGGCATTGTAAAACATATGAAAAATTAAATTGAAATTGAAATTTCAAACTGTTTTGGTAGCTTTTCTTTATATATTATTTTTTCAACATTTTTTCTATTTTATTTATTTTGAACTCAAAGTCAACAATATTAAACATAAATTTGAGCAACAAATATATGAAGTGAGGCAGAAATTTCATGCACAAATATTCTCTAATATTTGTATATTAAAGCTCGTTCGGCTGTTAATAAAAACAAATTTTCCTAGCCCACTCAAAGCACCTGCCAAAGGTATGCCAAATAGACTTTTTTCGACATATTTTACTTTGAGCGCCTTTTTCTTTGTTTCCTCGTTTTTTGACAAATTACTTGGGTGAGCTCCTTAAGAAGCCGTCGCTCTTTGCCTTCTTTCACGTAGCTTTACGGGCCGTTTATGGCCCCGTGGTATATGGCATAAAGTCGGTGCTATTAAATATAATTGCCAGCAATTTTTGCAATCTACTTAGGAAATCATTTTTAATGTGCTTTCAAAAGCTAGCCCAGCGTCCCCCGTCCGGCTGACATGCTAATTGAGGACTGTGTGAAAAAGCAAAAAAACAAAAAACATAAAGAACTGTGTCCCAAGCACAAAACAATAGAGCTTAGAAATTTAAATTAACATTTTGAGTGAATCTAATAAAAGGGAAACGGAAAAGAGTCTGCGATAAGAGAAAAAAGTGGCCAGCAAAGCAAAACAGTTAAATTGTTTTTGACCAGGGCACGGACGATGGAATGCGATGGCAGCCACAATCGCCGCAGCCAGGTGGCACCAGGTGGGACCTGGCGTTAGATTTTTTATGCATACCCAACATTGTTGCGGCCTGGCTCTGGTTTACAGTTAGCTCGACATTGCTCTGGCTGGTGCCTTTGTTTATGCGGTCAAATTTAAAATGCTAACAGCAGCAGCAACTGTGTGTGTATACAGAAATATGTGTGTGTGGGTGTGTGTATGTATTTACATATTTTAATGTGCTCGTGGGCAGCATTCGATGCCTTTATTTTGTATTCCGGACCTGGTCAAAGGGCTGCGACTGCGACTGACTTGAGGCTGTCCCAAAAAGAAAACCAAACAGCAACGGCAACAGCAACAGCTACGACAAAAGCAGGGCATAAACCAAGGCAGGCAAAAGGCACACACACACACACCCACACACAGTGGAGCTGCGAGCACATGCATACATACATAAATTTTCACACTCGCTCGACGAGGGGCCCGCAAAAGTTGAGGGACAAATGCAAATACACAAACAATGGCAGCGAGGGGCTACTAAGCCAAACTAAGAAGGTTTCGGTAAACAAACAGACACACACACACACACACACATGTATACACAGGCACATAGACAACATCAGCCACAGCCACAGCAGCAGCAGCAGCAACAGCAGCGCAGGCGTTGTTATTGTTGTTGCCACCAGTTGGGCACATTCATAGTTAAAATTTGGAGAGACAGCGCCGAGAGATTTGGCAAACAGCCGTGGCGAACCCAACCCACCCTAAGCCAACCCAAGCCTAACCCAATCTCTCTCGCTCTCTGTCTCCTTCCCTCCTCTCCTTACCCCAGCCCTTCTCTTGTCCAACTCGGTCGCGTTAATCATGGCTGCTACAATCGCCAAACAAGTAAAACAACTGTGCAACAACAACAGCAACAATGCAGAGTGAGCACGTGCCAAAATGGACATCACACACACACACACACAGATGGCCACATACCCTAGCTTAAATTGTGTATACCAGGCGATGTTGTTCGCATTTGTTGGCTGTCAGTATTTAACATTAACTCGCACAGATTCATTCCCCCAGCATCGGCAACTGTGGAGTATATATTCTAGAGCCAGTAGCTCACAATGCTACGAACCTCAAATATTTAACTGTAATTTCATTTAATTCAAATCAAGTTTTATTTACAAAACTTTGCGCCGCAACTACAACAACAACTTTGTGCATATTTTGCTTAACTCGACATTTTGTATTTTATTTGTTTTTCAAAATTACATTTTCGCTATAAAAAAGAGCTGCACATTGCTCAATGAAACAAGGCTTTGGCTTGGGATTCGTTTTGTTAAGCTAGTTTTTAATATTTACAAAAAAAAAAAAAAAAAACAGATTAAAATGCTGAAAGTTAAGTTAGAGTCGAGTTTAAACGGTTTATATCTTTAGTCTCTCGGTTTGAAGACTTTAAATTTCACTTTAAATAAATATTTGAGTATTGATTTATTACGAAACTTGTTTTGCCCAAAGTTTAATTGAAGCTAAAAGCTTTAAAAATGTTTAGTTTACATTTGCAACATATAGACGAATATCGTATTGAATATCGTGTCTAATATTGTCTGGAATTTCATAAAGAATATCGTATCTAATATCGTATCTTATTTCGTATTGAATATCATATCGAATATCATAGAATATATTATTGAATACAGTGTCAAATATCGTGTTCAGTGTCGAATTGAATGTCGTATTGAATATCGTATTTTATATCGTATTGAATATTGTATTGAAAATCGTATCGAATATCATATTCATATCGAAAACCATGTTGAATATATAATATATAGAATATCACGAGTTAGTTCCATTTTTGGTTCGAGATACATTTTTCAACTCACTCAAAAATACCGATTAAAGCCTGAAATGAAAACGTTACACTAAAAAATACTGAACTTTGTCAATAAGAATATTGAATTACAGCTCATATCCATTTGAATCGTACAGTAGCTTTTTATAGTTTTCTTTTCTCTTTTAAGTTTTTCATTTATATTTCACTATTTTAACAGACAATATATATGCAATATATATTTATGTAGAGCTGCCAATTGATTTACCCTTTTTTTTTTAATTTTACATATTGAAGAGATACATTAAATACACAATGGCTGCATGGCCGCTATAGGTCAATGTGCTATGCATACCCTGATGATAGCAAACAAAATGATGAACTCTGCACAGCAATTTGTCCGAGCAGAGAGCAAAGCATCTGAGTTTATGTACGTCGAAGCATGTAGTATATTAAAATCGATTGATTTTTTGATGGTTATTGCCAACAACGATGGGGCTATGTATACATACATGCACATTGTGAATAAATGGCCACTCGTTAAGGTAATAACAAATAACTGTATAGAACATTATGCCTAACAATGAAAGGGCATAATGACAATAGAATGGGCGGAGGGGCAGGGTGGGGACAGGGAGGCTATAGTCAGAGAGGCAGCAGCATAAAGTTAATAGTCAAATATCAAGAGGCATTCATTTAACTTACGATCTTATTTGAGCTAATTACCAGCTAAAGCAGCCCAATTAACAGAGTAGTCAAAATTAATATTAGGAAAGGACTTAAGGACGGGCTTAACGCGGTTTACGATATATTAATGTATATATATAAAGCTTATGAAATCAGAAATATTTGTGTTATTTAGTTAAAGCATTTCAATGTTTTTTTTTGAATGCATTTATATGCATTTAAATTGTTGCCGATACTCGTTCGCCAAGTGAAAAGGGTATATTAGTTTTGTTAGAATTACTACAACAACAAAATGAAAGCCAAATTTTTTGAACACATTTGAGTATCTGACATTATTCAGCAAAAGCTTTTAGAGTGACCATATATGCAAAAATATCAATGCGAAGTCCCTAAACTCTATATGCTTATTGAATGAAATTTAATGTGTACATAAAAATGAGTTGAATAAATGAATAGCAAATCACAATAAACTAAGACTCTGTCAGTTTTAAGGCTAGGGTGACCAAATTTCAATTTAAAAAGCTTATAGTTCTTAGCCTCCAAATTTTTGATGAATATATAGCATATAATTATATAAAATAATCATAAATTAAATCATTTTGTCTATCAAAATTGATCTATATTTTTGAGCATTTAACAAGTATTCTACAGTCAGTTACACCCAACTACAGTTCTACATAGTTCGTGCTTGTTTACATTGAGGTTTTTATTTGACATTTAATTCAATAAGCAAGAACAACCACTAATTGCATACATAAATAAAGCATTTATGCAATCTATGCAATTTACGAACTTTTTCCATGAATGTTTTAATATTTACAAAAAATATTTATTTATCAAAAGAGGGAAGCAAAAATGAATTCCAACCAAACAATCTGCAGCGCAATGTTTGACAGCCATTCGTTCGTGCTCTTGAATGATTTATAAGTGCCCACAAAATTGGAAAGCCGCTAATCGAATTTTCATATATCTGTATCTATATCTATATCTATATACATGTATTAATACATATCTCTATATATATTTGCAGATTATATTTTGACCCTCATATTGGCCAGTTGAATGTGAAGCAGCCAAAACCAAAACCAAAAAAAGAGAAACAAACCCGAAAAACTAAACGAGCTGCAGTATAAATCAGCGGAACTGAGCATGCGACAATTTGTACATAGATGACCCATGGCATATATTGTTCGAGTACATATGAATAGTATCTAGTAACACACACACATACACACAAAGAGAGACCCACATACCGTAGCTGTAACTAATTGGTTTGACGGCGCTGACGTGTTATTGATCTGCAGCAAACGTATAAATAAATAACTAGATAGTTATGCATGCGAAATTTTCAGATTTCAACAACAACAGCAACAAAATTGAGAATAAAATATTTATCACAAATTGTAATAGTCCATCAATTTATAATAACAAATTTTTGTCAGTTGTCGAAGGACACAAAACACCCACAAAATCTAGTCAAACAAAATTTAAATATCATAAAAAATAATACTAAATAAAATAAAAGAAAATAAATAGATTGCAGAACAATTTTCAAGTGTAGGCTCCGATTTGTACCAATTGTAAATAGTTAAGAAATTGTTTTTTTATTAAAGTTTCTTAATTTGATACCTAGTTGAGTGTAGTTTAGTTTAAGGGTCTAGGATTCATTGCCTTCGAGGGAAAGCCCGTAGTAATTAAGTAGGCAATCACAAAAAAAAAAATCAAATTGGATGTATCCAATGAATATTAGTAAAAATTATATGCTTATGGTAAATAATATAAAAATCTATATATATATACAATGGACGACCAAACAAAAGTTTAACTTTAAATTTAGCAACTCTAAAGATCATACTTCAAATACAACTAAATTGAAGCCAACTGAAACATTTAAAGTTCGGGCGCAACTCTGAGATACTTAAGATATATATGAGTCTAGAACTCATAGAGCTCAATCTGAAGTCAAGATTTCGAAATGCCTAAGCTTTAGCTCCTCCAAATATAACAAAAACGTTTAAGAATGAAATATGAAAGGGAAAGAAGATAAAAATTAACAGAAGGCTTGTTAGTGATATTAATTTTAAAAAACTTTAAACTAAAACCTATTAAAGGATCTTTAATGCAATATTTTAATTTGCTGAAAAAAACACTTGAAGATGATAGAGAAAATATTAACAAAAAAAAAAAAAAAAACAAAGGAAGGGCGGACTACATAAACATCTTGAAAAGCAAACTAGAATATTTACTTTAATACGCCCAAGGTAGCTCTATAAGCATTAGGTTCTTATGTAAATTCGGCAGTTAACGTTTTTCTGTTAGTTAACTTTTAGCTTATTATGTTAAGCTTCAAACTGATTGTAAATAATAGAAGGAGGCGAGAACACTCAGCATTTGAAATAGAGATTAAATCACTTAAGAACTTCTCGTATATCAACTAAACTAAAATTTAAACAACATTATACACAGGCAGCACATTAACAATAAGAAACACTAAGCAACGCATATGTAAACAAGTTCCAAGCAAGTCTTACACACACACTCACACACAGACACATTCACACACACTCACAGACATGCACATTAATGCAGCATATTCAAAGAAAAGAAAAGAAAAAACAACAATTTAGCAATTATCATTAAATATTTACGAACTGTCTGAGCAAAAGCAAACTAACTAAAGCGAATGACTAAGCTAAAGAGAAAGCAGAACTAAACGAAACACAGCGCATAAGCAATAGGCGCCATCAGCTATACGAGTAATGTAAAACGAAAGAAAAAGCCGTTAAATAAACGAATAAAAAAAATAAAATACAAACGAATTATTTTCAATTTCATTTTGCACTGCAAGCATCAATATGCGGGAGCTGGAACTGGTTCGTATGCGCCTGGGACTCATTGCTCCCATACAACATACGCCCAATTGAATAGCCGGAAATGAAATGCGAAAGACTGCAACAGTAGCTGATTGAATGCTCCGTCATTATAGGGGTCAGTAAGTAAAAACATACATATATATGAATAAATATATATATCTAAATGAACATACGTGTGCTTCTATGGATTTAATTCAATTTGAAGTAACAAAGGGTCGCATATGGGAAAACCGTGTTGTGAGAACTAATGTTAAAATAAGAAATTCATGACATAAATGTGAATTAAGTTAGCTGCGCCATACGCCATGCCTCACTTGGTACTGAAATGTTAAGCAAGCGACGCAAGTTAGATATTGCAATTGAGAGTACCCGAGCTATAGTAAGACAAGACATATAACTTATAAAGTAAGTAAAAGTAAGTAGTATCTTAAAAGTTCAGCTACATTTTACTATAAAGGAACTAAGCTAACCTCCATTCCCATCATCACCCAGCTTAGCAGCACAGAGCACCACCCAAGCAAAGCATCCGAAATCGTAGAAGCCAAAACAGCTGTTAAATGTAATTAAAATTGGTGGCCAGCGTAGTGAAGAGATGCGCGGCGCTCGCCCGCAAATGAATTAAATAAATTAATTTAGTTGGCAGACGGAAAAAAAAAAATATGCAAACGTAATATGCGTAAAACCGCAAATGAAAAAAAGACAAAAAAAAAGTAAAGCGAAGTTAAAACCCAAATGAAATATGGAAAAACGCGTGTAAATGGCGAACGCGTGTTTTTCTTCTCAACACCAGAACTGGGGTAATTTTACACCTAAGCTAAGAGCAGCGACAGGTGCTTAGCAACACTGGCACCCCAGCGTAAGTCGCAACCACTTGCACTCGCACGCCAGCATCGGGCCTCTCTGTCTAGCGCTCATTTAAATGCCGCGCAACAAGCATTTATGTAAATTGAAAATATGCCGAAACGGGGCAGCCATTTAAATTCAATTGTCAACGGCATCTCGTGCCGCCATGGCAATGCGTAAGAGCGAGGGGGACAGGAAGCGGGAGAACGAGCATAAAGGAGAATACGAGCGCGCCAGCAGCCGCAAGCTGAGCACTCTGAGCGCTTCCCGCTGTGGGTGCACGCAATCAGAATTTATATTTATTATTACGATTACAGTTCAGTCGCAGTTCACAGCCGTTGCAGTGCAGATACCCATTTGTTCATCAATAATAAGCGTGCAGAGACAGTCTTGAAATTGCACAGACACCTACACGCCCACACAGACTTACACATACAACAACATGGAACGCCTGCTGACCATATTTGAACAGGCTGATCCCTTCTCCACCTGGTGGCCCACAATTGCTGCTGTACTGGTTGGCGTTGTGATAACAGTGCGGTAAGTGAGGCGGTTATTGAGGCAGCACACACACACACACACATACACAACACAATATCCAACACTAACGATAAGACATGACCCACGGCAAAAAGTTTTCGCCGCATCGCGACGCGTTGCCGGACACGTGCATATACATAACTGTCGCGGCGAAGAGAGTAAAGTAATAAAAAGAACTCGCTGCACTCGAAACTTTTTAAGTGGATTTCACAAAGAGGGTCGCAAGTCGCAGCTAAGCCCGCTCAGCCTCCTTCTCAGTATTGCCGCGCCCACATCCTCTGCTGCTTGCCTTTAGCCAACTCCGTGAAGCAGCGGGATAATGTGTAATATCTAAAGATTATTTTTGCGCGTTGCGCTTTTGAGGAGTGCACGCGGTTTTTGTGGCCTGCCCCTCCGGTTGCAGGTGTTTGGCTGAGAATGCCGGCACGGACTAAGGGGGCGTGTCAGTGAGCAATGTGGTGCTGCAATCGCAATATGTACGAACTGGCAACTGACAACTGCGGCAAGTGCCAAAAGCTGCTGCTGCAAATATTTGTAAAGTGGATTTGCGCAAGTTGGCTAAAAGTAAATGCGCTGGCAAATGAATTCTGAAACGTTGCAAATACCGTCGAGCAGGTAAAACTTACCTAAAGTGCCAAATAACTGTCAGCCAATGAAGTGGAAGGTCATAATGCCACCCAAGCAGAGACAATTTAAAAACTTAAACTAAGCCAATGCGATATCTCTTGATTTGACAGCCGTAAGAAACGACAGCTTAATAGTTATATGTATCTTATAATTGTGATACCAGAGATGAGACATCTAAGTAATTATAGAACACAAAGTGCACAAATATACTCAATTTCACAAATTTAATTCGTTTATCACGCGTTTCGAAGCTTGTTTTAAATTCGCTTTAAAATAGTGTTGGACAGTTCCCTAATTATTTATTAGCAGCAGCTTAGCATAATGTACACAAAATAACATAACTCTGTTAAGTGAGTACTTAAAGCCACGATTGAGCTTAGCATAATGCACAGAAAATAACATAACACTTTTAAGTGAGTACCTTAAGCCACGATTCAGAAATACTCAGTTCTTTAACAGTGCATAGGCTTTCCAACTTAACATAAGCTCTTGCTGTTATTAACAGCCGTTCATGTTTAGGTTATTTTGCATATAGCTAATAATACTACAAATATATTAATAAAAAAAAGAAGCTTAAATCTTGACGCACAAATAATACTTATTTTAATATATGTTAATAATATTCATTGCTGTTTAATCTAGCGTTCAATAGTAGTTTAAGCTCTGCAATTGTTGCCGCTTAACTTGTTGAGCATTTTACATAATTTTTAATTTAACAAATGTGCATTTGCATATGCTAATAGGAAGTACGATATTATTTACGCCCCATCAATAAGCCATAGGGACGCACAGAGCGTGAGAGACAGGGCGATATGCTCCAGCGAGCCGGCTTTGGACCACATGTTGGTTACACAGCATTACGGTTAAGTTTGCCACCTACACACACGCATACTTACACGCACATGTACAGTTATCTGTAGTGTATTCAACTATACGTAACCCGCATTGCAGCACCATAATGAGCGGCCAGCGTTGCCCCAACGATAATCAAATCAAGGAGCAAATTGTTGTAGTTACCGGTGGCAGCAGCGGCATTGGCTTTGAGATAGCCAAAGCGCTGGCGGCACGTGGCGGCCGCATTATCCTTGCCAGCCGCAATCTGGCGGAGGGCGAACGTGCCGCATCAATTATTAAACGGGAGCTCGGCTGCCGCACGCCCACCTCCAGCACGGACAGCGTCAGCCCCGCCGAACGCTACTTTGTGGAAGCGCGTCTTCTCGACCTGTGCTCGCTGCGCAGTGTGCATCAGTTTGCCGGCCAGCTGATGTCCGAGTTCGAACGCATCGATGTGCTGGTGAACAATGCGGGCATGGTGTTTGGTGACACACGCGCGACCACGCCGGACGGCTTCGAGCCGCACAGCCAGGTGAACTATTTGGGTCCGTTTTTGCTGACGCAGCTGCTGCTGCCGCATCTGCGTCGCTCGGAGCAGGGCCGGATTATTTTTGTGTCGGCGCACGCCCATCAGGCGGCCAAAATCGATTTCGACGATCCGCTAAATGTGGGCACCTGGTCGGTGAAGTTCCATGCACGCGACGCCTTCGCCCACTCCAAGCTGGCCGTTATTTTGGCCACGCGCTGGCTGGCCCGAGAGCTGAAAGGTAAGCGCTGACCATCAGAGAATTCAATTATTTTTTTTCCTAGCCAAGCTCGCTAAATTACTGAAATGCTTAACTCGAGCGGGCCGTCGAGTTTTTCATTTTTAATAACGCGCTGATTTCCCCGCAGATACCCCCATTACGGTCAACTGCTGCACGCCCGGACTAGTGAGAGGCACACGGCATCTGCGCAAGTAAGTGTAACCAAACCAGGCCAGGCCAGGCCGGGCCAGACCTGCCCAGCAACTAAAAACGTAAATTGAAATCAAAACCAAAAAACCCACAAGTTGCACTCAGCACAAACTGCAGCTGCAGCTGCAACTGCAACTGCAACTCAATTTTTAAGCTCATTTCGCGGCCGTGCAAAAACTTTTTCCACTTTTCATTTGGCTAAACGTGACTCGGCGTGGGCTTGGGCGTGGGCGTGGGGTCAAAAGTGGGCCAAGTGCCGAACGTGACCCGCCAGTTGGCATCGCATCAAAGGCCCAGGCTCAAACTCAAATGTAATTAAAGATTTCAAATGGACAGCCTTGAGTGCTGCTCAACCAAATGACCCTGACTTGATTGGAAGGCTGCTCTTACGTGCTTGATTTACTTCAAACATAAATTACAGTGCCTCAAAAAAATCCTAACGCAGTTAAAGTGCTTCAACAAAAGCAACTTTGCAGCACTCGCAACTGAAATCTTGGGGTTAATTAGGGCTAGGCTTGATAGTTCATCAGCTAAAGGGGCTGTAGATAAAATTATAGCTATAAAATGTTAGGCAGATTGTACAGGAATTGTCTTAACAGAACTGTTAAGATCTGAAAGGAAGGTCATGTTAATATGAACCATCAGCTTAACTACATTTGACATGAAATCGATAAAAATCGATATGAAATTTAAGTTACTTGAGCATGAGATAAAAGAGCGCATGTCCTAAAATATTATTAATTAATTTAAAAATTAATTATTATGTTTTTAATTAATTAATAATATTTAGGACATGCGCTTAATTATTATTTTTTTAATTAATTAATAATATTTTAGGACATGCGCTCTTTTATCTCATGCTCAAGTAACTTAAATTTCATATCGATTTTTATCGATTTCATGTAAATGGAAAAATATATCGATAGATGTGTATATATAGAAGCAACGATGAGTACTATTTCACGCACCATTCTGAGAGGCTTATCCTAGAAAATATAGGTTCCACGGTTGGGAATGCGGCTAGAATGACGAACGGACGGACGCACGCACAGGCAGGCGCATAATTAAAGATGCTTTTGTCTGTTGCTCCTGATCAAAAATTTATATAAATTACATCCCTTTAGGCATAGCTAACATAATATCCTGCATTCCTATTGTCTCTGGATGCTGAGTTCCAATAACTTGTAGCTCTGTTAGAAGCTGTAGTAGCTAGCTAACCTTAATGATTAATTGACCAGATTACACAGGTATTCAGATTCGAAGCTGTGCGGAGTTTGAGATAGCTTTATAGGTTGTATCAGCATAGGATGGCATAACCTACACTAGGCTGAGCAGAGCTGGCATCGAAAGTAGTTCTGCCTGACAATAGAGAAAGATTGACTGGATTTGTAACCACTAATTGCTGCCATCTATAGACAGCCTGCAACATTGACTGAGTCTTTAACTAGCTTCCTGTTAAGTGAAGCAGTTCTGTATCGCTGAAGTCGCTCAAGGGACAACCGCTGCGTTCATATCGTTTCCCTTTCCGCGTAGCTTAAGTTGGCGTTAGAAAAAAAAACCGTAACTGTTGATGCCCCAAAGCTAGACGCATCCTGTTCCTGCGAAAAGCTAGAAGCTGTATCTTTTGTGGAGTCAGCAAGGGCGCATTAACCGACAGCTTTGCCTGGGGATTCATTTTTGGTTGCTTCACAAGAAAATATGAATCGACTGCATCATTTAAAATTTAGCTACTTTTGCTCTCAAGCGCAAGATACGAAAGCGAAACCAGTGGCTTGCTGCCATTATCCGGAGCAAGATTATTTTTAGCAGCGCTGCAAAGGGTTTCTGAGCGTTGTCTAAACAAAAATCCATTAGGATAGCTGTCAAGGACAGCAACTGCATTAAACAGAGCAACAGCAGCAGCAGCAGAATTAACAGAGCTGCGGCAAAAGGAGCTCGATGACATAGGCTTAAAGGCAGCCCATGCAAATTGGTTGTCAGCCCCCCAGCAAAATGCTGTATAGAACATCAAGTTTGTGTGCGGGTATATACGTGTCTATATAGGGGAGGAATATGAAAAAAGGAAATTTGCACAATACACAGAAAAGGACGTGCAAACACGACAAACAGTTGCAAATTACGAACAGCACAAAATGACGACAAGCTGCAACAGCAACAGCAGCAACAGCATAGACCCCACATAGAACCCTCCATCTCTGCCCACCGCACAGCAGCAGCTGCGTAGATAATCCAGCATCGAGTGGCACTTGCCACACACTCGAACATTCACACACACATTTGCAATTGCTTATGCAACAAGAGCGAAACGCGATAATTAGAATGCCAAGCACGCGGCGCGACATGTTACGCTGCCCGGGCCAAGCTGAGCCAAGCTGGCCGAGCACTTGACAATTGCCTACGATTTCTTAGGGCCAACAAAGATAACTGCGGGTCCCAAACTTGGCCTAGACTGTGCGGATTTTGAGTTATTGCCCACTCGCGCACAGCTGACAGTTGTTGTTGTTGTTGTAGTTGCAGATGCTGTTGCTGTCATATATATTGCTGCTGCTGCTGCTGTAGTTGTTGCTAAGTGTATTGTAGTTGTTGTTGTTGCTACTCTGCGCTGTTGTTGTTGACTGTTGCTGCTGTTGCTATTCATGTTGCTGCTGCTGTAGCTCCTTTGTATTGCTGTTGCTGCTGCTGTTGCTATTGTTGCTGCTGCTGCTGCAGCTGCAGTTGCTATCGATATTGCTGCTGCTGCTGTTGTTGTCGGTGCTGCTAGAGATGTTGCTGCTGTCATTTCTGCTTGCTGTTGTTGCTATTGATGTTGCTGCTGCTGCTGCTGCTGCTTCTGCTGCTGTTGTTGTGTTTGTTCCTGATGTTTATGGTTGCTGCTGCCTCCATTGCTCTTATTGTTGCTGCTGCCTCCTGCTGCTGTGCCTAGTCATGCCATTGATGTTGCTGTTGTTGCTGTTGTTAATTTTCCTGTTATTGCTGCTGCTTTTCATGCTGCTGCTGCAGGTGATTCCGCTGCTGTGTTGCTGCTATTCTTGTGGCTGTTGCCGTATCTTTTGCTTCTGTTTCTGTTGCTATTGTTGTTGCTATTGCTACCGCTGCTGCTGTGTCTGCTGGTGTCGTTGTTCTTGTTGCTGGTCCTGTTGTTGCGGCAATTGTTTCTTTTTGCCAACGGCAACGCTGTGTCAGCAAAAACCAAGTTCAAGCGACAAGCATAGTCGACACTTCGCTACGCCCCTATTCTTGTCTGTCCTACTCCACCCCCGCCCCCTCCCACTCCCCGCAAACATCTTTCATTGATGGCAACAATATTAATGCAAGATTTATTGATACTTCAGCTGGTCTTGCAATCGCAAATCTGCAACTTTCTGGCAGTTATAAATTAGTCATTGCCAAACATTTTGATACGGAAGAGAAATCATTTTTCAACCAGCAAATCCACCCACAATGACCAAGGCACATTGCACAGTCATTGCCAAAAGTCTGTTGACACTGAGTCGACATATAGAGGCAAATGTAGTTGTCTCTATCTCTATCTCTATCTCTATCTCTATCTCTATCTCTATCTCTATTCTATCTCTATCTCTATCTCTATCTCTATCTCTATCTCTATCTCTATCTCTATCTCTATCTCTATCTCTATCTCTATCTCTATCTCTATCTCTATCTCTATCTCTATCTCTATCTCTATCTCTATCTCTATCTCTATCTCTATCTCTATCTCTATCTCTATCTCTATCTCTATCTCTATCTCTATCTCTATCTCTATCTCTATCTCTATCTCTATCTCTATCTCTATCTCTATCTCTATCTCTATCTCTATCTCTATCTCTATCTCTATCTCTATCTCTATCTCTATCTCTATCTCTATCTCTATCTCTATCTCTATCTCTATCTCTATCTCTATCTCTATCTCTATCTCTATCTCTATCTCTATCTCTATCTCTATCTCTATCTCTATCTCTATCTCTATCTCTATCTCTATCTCTATCTCTATCTCTATCTCTATCTCTATCTCTATCTCTATCTCTATCTCTATCTCTATCTCTATCTCTATCTCTATCTCTATCTCTATCTCTATCTCTATCTCTATCTCTATCTCTATCTCTATCTCTATCTCTATCTCTATCTCTATCTCTATCTCTATCTCTATCTATCTCTATCTCTATCTCTATCTCTATCTCTATCTCTATCTCTATCTCTATCTATATCTATATCTCTATCTCTATCTCTATCTCTATCTCTATATATCTCTAGCTTTATCTTTGTCTATTAAAATTAAAATTCTTTTGAAACTTTAATCTTAAGTAAAGAAATATTAATTTTCGAGGCTTAAATTATTTAAACTTCATTCCAATTTCTGAACTTCTACCAAAAGTATATAAATTTTAGTTTACTGTGGAAATGCGAACAGTCTGTTTGCCTTCATTCATCTGGGCCAACATTTGACTTAACTTGGCTTAACAACTTTGCACCGAAATAAACAAAATAAATGAGCGTAACAGATGTGTGCAAAGCCTTAAATAGTTAACAACTTTGCAGCTAGAGGACGATAACAATCTGGAATGTTACGCAAATAAAATACACACACACACACACACACACCCACACACACACACCTGTTTGTGAGCATGCTTCACAAATTACACAATTCAATAAAAATAATTGGAAATATATAGTTGAGTGAAATACATATGTATGTATAGTTGGCAATGCTGTGGCAAGTGGCAGGCAGGCATTTGTGATATGCCACACACACACACTCACACACAGGTAACAGCTGTCAGAAGCCACAAAAGCATAATCCATCATAGACACAAAACTGTTGTGCTCACATCGCACATATGTATGTATCTTATTCGCTTGCCAATGGCAGCTGCCACATGGCCAGGGCGAAACATTGTTAACATGCGTCATTACAATTTGCAAATGCCTCGTGCTGCTGCAAGCTGACTGCACAGTGAAACAAAAGATTGTCAAACAATGAAAGAAATCAAATGCCGGGCCAAGCGTACAAATCATTTAGACATAAAACGCAGCTCCTTGACAGCTGTGGACTGAGGGCGCTGGCAGTGGCGGGGCTCTGTCAGTTGTGGCAATAGGCACGTGGCACGTGATCCTGACGCCATCAACAACAGCAACAACAACAACTGGCCACCTTCACAGCCCTGGGGCTGCGGCAATAAAACAGCAAATGAACAGCGGAAGTAACATGAAGTGGACGTGCATGGAGCTGGCCTACAGTTCACCTACATATGACTCTTCCAAGTGTGCGTGTGTGTGTGTGTGTGAGAGTATCTGTGTGTGTATGCTGCTAGATACAAGCACCTGGCAGGCATATACTTCCTGTGCATTGCGCTGCATGCAACTGCTGCCCACACGCTTCACTTCAGCCCAATTTTAGTTCCAGTTCCCGTTGCAGCTCTCGTTTTTAGCGTTGCTCTGTGCATATGTTTGAGCTGCTCAAGTTAATTTTCTTTTTTAAATTTGTAGCTGGTTCTAATTGTTCAACTGTTAGTTTCAGTTCCAGTTCAGTTCTAGTTCTAGTTCCAGTTTCAGTGTCATTTCCAATTTTAATTCAAGTTCCTTTAATAGATGCAATTCAAATTCCAGATCTAGATTTAGTTACAGCTTCAATTCCAGCTCTAATATCAGTTCCAGTTCCAGTTTCAGCTGTTTTAGTTTCGCTTCCAATTCCAGTTTTATTTTTAATTTCAGCTCTAATTCTATTCTCAGTCTCAATGTCATTTCAAGTTACAATCACAATTCAATCCAGTTCCACCTTTAGTTCCAGTTCTAATTCCAGCTTCAGTTTCATTTTTAGTTGTTTTAGTTATATATACATATATATATATATATATATATATATATATATATATATATAATAATATATATATATATAATATTATTTATTTATATATTATATATATATATATATATTTTATAATATATTTAGTTCTAATTTCAGTTATATTTGCAGTATTATTCTTAATACTAGTTCCAATTCCAGCTTCAGTTTTAGTTCAGCTCTTGCATCTCTGGCAGTTCTCATGCTGGTTCCACCTGCAGTTCCCACTCAAGTATTCAGTTGTAAGTTCAGTCCCAGTTCATTTAAACCAATTCTAATTCTCTAGTTCTCTAGCTCTAGTTCCAGTTTCAGTTCCACTTTCAGTTACATCCCAGTCTCAGTGTATGTTCGCAACAAATCACTGAGTTCCATCTCAGCTGTTGTTCCAGTTCCAGTTCCTGTTCCTTGTCGTTTGTACATTTCGTGTACATGTTTTGGCTCTTCATGAAGATTTTCTATTTACAGACTTTGTAGCGTCAAATTGAACTTTTGTTTTACTTGTACACACACACAGAGCACACACACACACAGACAGAGCACATACAGACAAGAACAGCATCTTACATGGTATATTACTCTGTGACTTTCGTTGCTTTTATGATTGTCAGGCTTGTGTCTGTTGAAACAGCTGTCAGCCACGTATTGCATTCTGCCCCGCCTCCAGTTTTACCTTCGCCTGCTGCTCAATGTGCGGTCAAGGCGCTTGATGTAGCCTGCCTGTCCGTCAGTCACTCACTCACTCTGTCAGTCACTCAATCTGGCACATTTTCGTGATAATTTATTAAAGTGCAACTGCGCTCTACGTCTTATCTAGTCCTGAAAATAATTCAGAAAATCAATTTCGGTTCAGCTGGTTTTCAATTCACTTTTATGTGGCTTTGAAATGAAACGAAAATGCATAAAATTTTACAGCTGTAAATAATTGTGATACGAAATAAACTGAGCTAGACTATAAAAAGTTTTCTTATTGCCAATGGATGAACATTTATTTCTTTTTATAAAGTAAGAAAGATTTAAGTAAAATGATCAAGATTATAGCCACTGTATTTGTTAGGGATAAGTTCTAGAGTAAACTAACTTCTTTAAGCTCAAATCTTTTAAGCTCATGTATCTGATCTATATATGATTTTTGTCTGTATAATATAGCATTTATTATATGTTCCTACCAATTATTCTTTTTATTTTCCCATATTTGTTTTTAAAAAATGACATTATAACGCAATACCGTTACTTTTAATGACAGCTTTACTAATTAGCAAGCGAAAAGCTAAAGCACACACACGAACATATTCATAAGCAAGTGAGATTCTTGCACTCGACTGTTCAATACTCCCGCGCGGGCCAAGCACGTGCAACGTTTTTCCATTTGCCACGCCCTAATATAGGTTTATTTTTAGTGTATGTTAACAGTTACTCAACTTACAAATCTCAATCTGCACTCAAAATGGAGCAAAGAAATTATTTTAATGCATATATCACAGCATGAATGATTGTGGCTTTGATAGATCAACTCTGACTTTAACACAAGATATAGATAGATATCAAAATATAGTGTAGCTCCAACTGCCCCGCCCCCACTTCAGCATATCTCTCATGCAGCTGCTTGACTCGACTTAATTATTTAAATTCTAAGTCTGTGGCAAAAAATCAATATACTCCATTAACTTCTTGGGCGAGTATAAAAAGTAACACGTTTAACTTTCTGTTTAATTAATGTATACGAGTACTGAGTATGTCTCTCTCTAAAAAAACAGCTAGCAACAACCCGTAATTCCGACGCATTATCCATGGCAAAGTGGAAATCGTGATTTCCAAAAGTTCTGCGTGAACTCGTTCATTAAGCAAATGTGCAGATACCCTGCAGTCATTGGCAAGGCATTTAAATGCACTTATGTGTGTGTGTGTGTATTTTTATGTAGGGGCTAAGCATTCACATGCAATCAGCTGCACGGTAGGGTGGCTCATTGCACGTGAACTTTGTCCGGCTTAGCGGTTCAGCCCGCACAGCTCGCCTAATGCGATTCACAAATCCATCCAAAGAATTAAAAGGGCAACAAGAGAGAGGAGGGACAGGGGGCAGGAACTGTTGGTTGTGGCAAGGGCAACAAGCTTTAAAAAGCGTTGCATTGAATGAAACCATTTTCACTCTATGATAGGGCAAGGCACACAACACACAGCAGCAGCAGCAGGAGGCGAAGGAGGAGCGAAGAGGGCAGCGGGAAGCAGGGCAGACAGCGATAGCAGTGGAGGCATAAAGAGGTGCAAGAGGTAGGGACAGCACTGCAGCCAGATAGACAGACACGCTTTTGTATGAGCTCAGTGTGTGTGTGTGTGTGTGGGTGTCTGTGTGAAATGAATGAAAATGAAAAGCAGTTAATGCTCAAGTCACGGAAAAAGCGTAAATGGAAAAGTTAAACGCATTAATTATTTATTTATCGTTTTATTATGTTCAAGTGTCGGTGAACCTGCGACCATTGGAAGCAGCAGCAGCAGCAGTGGCAGCAAAAACAATAAAAACAACAACAAACAAACAACAAAGACAGCTAAGCAAATTGAGCGCGCGTCCGTAATCCTGTCTGAAAGGCATCTGCATGGCGTATACACATATATAAATAAATATATATACTATATAAAAGTTGAGCGAAAGAGAGTTGGCTATGACGCACGTTAAATTGTAGCATGCCCCAAATTGTTTTTTATTTCATTTTTTCTTCCTCCTCTCTGTGTCTTCTGCCACAATTAAAAATGCCATTAGAAGGCAGTTGTTAAAGTTGTGCAACTGAAACCCATTGTCGTAGATTTCATGACTCTCATCTTTTTTTAGCTCCTCGATATCCAGCCTTCTTTGCTCTCTAGTTTTTTTTTCGATTTCGGTAATTCAATTTAAATATTTATGGAAGCACAAAGTTTTATACTTTTTATTCCCCAACAGCTGTTCAGTGAATACATTCAGCTGTTCACAAACTTTGTTTAAATATAAAAATCTTACAAATACATAAATTTCCAATTCATGGATCAGCTTTCAAGTTAATAACTAATTATTAGTGAATTAAAAAGAGAATTGAGCTAAGGAATATATGCTTAAAATATATAGAGTAAAGCGAGGTATACCAAAGTATAAGTATAAGTATAAGTATAAGTATAAGTATAAGTATAAGTATAAGTATAAGTATAAGTATAAGTATAAGTATAAGTATAAGTATAAGTATAAGTATAAGTATAAGTATAAGTATAAGTATAAGTATAAGTATAAGTATAAGTATAAGTATAAGTATAAGTATAAGTATAAGTATAAGTATAAGTATAAGTATAAGTATAAGTATAAGTATAAGTATAAGTATAAGTATAAGTATAAGTATAAGTATAAGTATAAGTATAAGTATAAGTATAAGTATAAGTATAAGTATAAGTATAAGTATAAGTATAAGTATAAGTATAAGTATAAGTATAAGTATAAGTATAAGTATAAGTATAAGTATAAGTATAAGTATAAGTATAAGTATAAGTATAAGTATAAGTATAAGTATAAGTATAAGTATAAGTATAAGTATAAGTATAAGTATAAGTATAAGTATAAGTATAAGTATAAGTATAAGTATAAGTATAAGTATAAGTATGAGTATAAGTATAAGTATAAGTATAAGTATAAGTATAAGTATAAGTATAAGTATAAGTATAAGTATAAGTATAAGTATAAGTATAAGTATAAGTATAAGTATAAGTATAAGTATAAGTATAAGTAATTCTCTTGACTTCTATGAACTTTCCATTTCCTAGATTATCTTTAAGTCGACTACTCTCTGTTTGGCTTCATGTTTTGCATTTTAATTACAATGGAAATGAAATTAAGCTAACTCTTGTTACCTTTTTTAACTTTTGTTTTGTTTTTCTTCTTCTTTTTGTCGTTTTTCTTTGATGTGGCTAACACGCACAGCTCACCGCTAATGTCGGCCATTTGCGTTAAGGTGATCACCTACCCCTGGATGTGGCTATTCATGAAGAACGCCAGCGAGGGAGCCCAGTGCGCCATACGCCTAGCCACAGATCCCCAGCTGAAGCAAGTGACCGGCGAGTACTTCAAGTGAGTTGCCAAACAACGGAACCGGCTGATGCCGCATTAGCGCCATTTTCCTACACTTTTTATATCCGGAGATGCTTTAGAATTGTGTGGAACGGGTATATTAGTTTGTTGCAACAGCACCTTGAAGCCTTGAGAAGGAACAATAGTATGTTCATCTGTCTGCGAGAACGCGAAAACAGCAGTTTGCAAACTTGAATATATTGAATAGAATAGTTTCTTAGGGTATCTGGTAGTCGGGCACTGCCGACTTTGCCACTCCTACTTGTTCATTTTGTGCAACGTTTCTTCGCCTACTTGCAGTGACTGCGAAATTGCGCCAACTTCAGAGGCCGGGCAGGACAAGGAGTTGGCCAAGAGATTGTACATGCAGACCATAGAGACGCTCCAGCGCGTTACCAAGCTAACCGTCGACAAGGAGGCGTGCACCATGGCGACGCAGCTTCAACTGGAGTCCGGCAAGTGATTTATGTGCTGCACGCGGCCAGGCATACACGACGACGACGACGTCTACAACTTCCAACGTCTATTTGCATTTGGCTTAACAATTGCCGCATTATCCAGCCAACCAGCCAGTCTGCCAGGCAGCCAAACCAGTTCGGGCCACTTAGAGTCCGCCCCAAATTTAAGAGTCTGCAGCTGCGACTGCCTCTGCGATTCACTCGTAGAGAATATATGTAAATTTAATGTGCTAACGAAATTGCTGAGCTTCTGTTTTGCTTTTTAATTTATGACTAAAAGAAATATATAAATATATATATATATATATATATATAATATATATATGTATATTTAACTATATATAAATTGAGGGTCAGGCCCAGGCAGAGATTTATGAGACGCGCTCAATTAGAAATTCACCATATGCTTGCCTCAAGCTTGCTGTCCTTTTGAATATTATTTTCTAGAATTTATTCAAAGTATTTGCTGAAAATGTCTACCTTAGGTATTAATATTTAACATGACTAAATCATTAGGACAGATAAGCAAAACGTCAATTTTCAAGTTTTCATATTGTAATCTCCTGATTCTTTGCAGGCCAGGAAAGAGATGGAGAAAGACAAGGATAATTTTGTTCTATAAGCAATCAAAGTCTGTTATAATATGAGAGTAATGAAGCATTTGCATATTGCAAATTATTCAATTTATATATTATTTTATATATTAATATATATATTATTTTATTTATAAATAATTATTTACATTAAAATAAACATTTTCTTTATCATTCTGCTAATCGTTATTTACTGCCAAAATTCAATAGGCGATTTCTTGTACTGCAAGAAGTGATCAGAAGGCTAGAAAGGAATGAATGAGGCTATAATGAAGCAAATGAGCATAGGCAAAGATGCTGTCCAAAGAGTAACAGTTAGAAAAGAAAAAGTAGGAGGTTTGCAGTTCCAGACGAAGCCTCGAATCATGATTAAAAAAAAACATTTAAAACTACAACAAAAATAGTATTTCAAAAAATCAACATCATAATCATCAATATAAATGTCAATTTAAATATAAATAACTATGTTTACCACTATTATTATCATTAACATAATCATTATCGTATCAACAAAATGTCCTAAGAACTTAGCTAGATGTGAGTAAAGAGCTTTGCTTCTAAAGCATTTAAACTTAATTTAATGGTGCTCTAGGAAATCTATTCAATTCTCTCACAAAAGACTCTATAAATCAATAATAATTAACTATATCAATATCAACATCAACAAGTTAGTGAAATCGTAAGCAATGATAACATTTCAAACTCTCTGCAAGATGTTCATCAGTCAACATCAATTAACGATAAAGAATAGAAGTTAAGCGGATTACTTCAAGCAGAAGGACAGTTTGCATCTTGACAGAAAACTTGAAGCACATTCTTCGTGTCTAAATTGTGGAGCTTAAAACGTGCAATGCAACGACTCAGTCAGATTGAGGCAATTATTGCTGCTGCCATGGATCGTGAGTAAAAATTGATTGCATACTTTCAGGGGCAACACCTTCGGCTGGCTTACCTGAAGAAGTTTTGAGCTGTAACTAGAGCACAGCAAATAAAACTATATAATTTATTGCTGGATTTATTGTCTTTATATAACCTTTCAGTTGACTGTTTTAAATGCAAGTGAAGGTTTCAGCTGTCATGGCGCAACTCGAGCTGTTTAAATAAGGCTCATAATAAGCCATAAAAGAGCTTAAGCGCATTAAGCCAATGGTAAGCTAATGAAAACTTCTCGAATGTGTACAGCCGACAAAGGTTGCAATAAATAACAGTTCTGCTTTCTCTTTCTGTTCGCTTGCTATCAGCTCGTTGTTTGGATAACTCATTAGCCAGCATCAACTATGTGAAAATACGTGAAAAGAGAATTCCTTGGCACATATGTATGTATAAAAAACATTCTATACGAAGCTAATTGGAAAGTGCCTCTCTGTCAGCTTTTTCACTCAGTCTCCCCTTCTCTCTCTCTCTTTTTGTCGCGCTGTCACACTCGCTATCTGTTCGCGTGCCAACAAACTGTTGCTGTTGATTAGCAGAAGTAAAACAAAGAAAAACATAAAAGAAATAGATAGCAAAGTTTGTTTACAAAGCGAACAGACTGCTAAACTACACGAGCAATTATATACTTTATATATATATATATATATATATACAAAAATATATATAAAATTTTTTTCTGCTCAGCTAAAACCGATTTCGATTAGAGCCCGATATGGCAGCCGCTTTGTATGCTATGGAAAATCTCTTTATTATATTACGTGCCATGCTTTTGTTGTCTAGAACTCCAATAGCTTTTCGCAAGAGCCAACAAAATATAGCAGAAGCAGAAGAAGTAGTAGAAACCCCACCCAATCGCGACTGGAACGGGCGACGTGAGGAGCTGCGCCATGTGTTGCTGGCACAATTTGACGGTTCCTTTTTTGATGCTGCTTCGTGTGCCGTTTTTTCCATTTTCCCTCTGCACAGTAATTGCATGGCTGTTGAAAATGAAAAGCTCTGCTCCGTAGCGAAAGCGATTATGTTGCTGGTGTTGTTGTTATTGTTGTTGTCGCAATTTCCACAGTTGGCAAAAAGCTTTACATTTCCGCCCACATTTCCGCTCTGGCGTGCATTTTTACGCGCCTCAATTAGAAGCAGCTAAACAAACAGAAAATCAAATTCACGCGAATCAACGGAACAAAGGTTTAAGTGCAGAGAATTTTGTTTACTTAAAAATATTTTTAGAAAACTTTTGAATTATTTTTGCATATATTGAAAAATATGGATAAAATAATATTGCTTACCTTTCGTATACGTAATATTTTGCTGTGTATTGCGAGCTTTACTACGGGAGCAAGTTGTAAAAAAGCTGAAACGTGCGACTTTCGCTCTTTCACAGCAAGCAAAGAGCGCTGCTTAAGCACTGAAGCTCTTATGAATTATTACAACATATTACGTATACGCCTGGTGCTGCGCAAATGGACAGGACTTTGGGCAGAAGCAATGTTTGAACCAATTGTCGATGGAAAGAAACTAAGAAGGTATCAAAATAAAAAAATTGATTTCGGAGCTTATTAAACACTCAGTTATTAAATACTCAGTTAACTTTTCGAGCTAAGAATTAAATCCATTTCAGATTAAATTTTTAATAAATTTTAAGTTTTTCAAAGACACTTGGTAGCATAGAACAGTAAGAGTGCAAACATGTATAAGGTTCCATAATCAAATATTAATTTCAATGCTTAAAAACTCAAAATCTAATCTAAGTCTAACTTCAGAATCAAACAAATTTTTGAATAAAACTTTTATTGTAAGAAAAATTTTCGTTGAAATATATATATAAATTTCCAATTGCCAACTAATTTCTATTGCCTAATACGTGGCCAAAAATATACATATATATTTGATACGTCTAACATTATAGTCACCATTCATAAGCTAACAATAAGCTACTACCGCACAAAGCCGGGTAATATTTGCTTATATTTAAATACACTTCAACATTTATATCCAAATGCTTTAGTCATTTCCGGCAAGAGCTTTTGCTCTCAAACACTTATCTTAAACAGTCTGGCAACGCTGTGATGCGCGCTCTCTTAGGTCAGTGTGAACGCCGCTCTTGCATGCGCCGCTCTCTTCGATTGGCAACTCCACAATAAAGCACAAACACCTGTGAAAGCTGCCAATTCAATTTTAGCGGCAATTCCGAACGAACGTAAATAACAACGAAAAATAATCACAAAATGTTTTAAATAAACAACCGAAGCTGCAATAAGGGAAACGCGTCAAGAATCATGGCCCATAGCCACAGTGGGCATTCAGCGTGTGAAAATTGCGTCAACATAGCGTAAACAACAAATAACGCGCGCTCGCTCTCAGTCGCCCTCGCTCTCTCTCTCTTTCTCTCTCTCTCGCTCTAGCTCTTCTTCTGGGAGCAGCGCTGAGCTGTGGGAGCATAAGAATTTGAAGAGCGGAAATGAGTTGAGCTGGCGATGCTTTTCAGGTTGAATTTTTATTTCTTTCTTTTTTTTTGGGTTTTTTGCAGCTCGCGTTCGGTTTTGGTTTCCTCGTATCAGTTGCGCGGCAATCCAGCCAAAGACTAAACGTGCGAATTATCCTCGTTAGCGTGTGTATTGCCACACATTGGGGCAGACGACGACGGCGATGCTGCTGCTGCTGCTACTGTTGCTGCCACAACGGTCGCGTTGACAGAACAGTACAACAAAAATATAAAATAAAATAAAAAAAAAAAACAAAAAACGAAGAAATTTGAAATTCTAAAGAAAAGCGCTTGGCGAAATGGGCCACGAGTAAAGGTGTGTCGTTTGTGCGCGTGTGTGTCTATGTGTGTGTGTGTCTGTGTCTGTGTGCATATTAATTATTCAAATTAATTGCAAGAAATACGCTACAAGCACAAGTAGCTGCGTACATAATTTATAAACATATTTTTGTTTGAGCGAAATATATTTTGAATTTGTTGTTAGTTTGTTTGCCAAATGAAAATGCATAGAATAACTAAAGTGTAGTTGCTGATATATATAATGTATATATACATCAATTTATAAAAGTTCAGCAATAGATGAACTAACAACAACAGCAAATAATCACAAGATGAGCGCACAGCTTGCGACTTTACGGGCCAACCATGTTTATAGAGCAGGTTTTTTTTCTCCCATTTCATTTTTTTGTTTTTGTTTTCGTTTACTTAGTGGACTAAGCTGCCACATTGAGCTTTACACACTCAAATATATATATATATATACATATGTATATTTTTGTACACCTATGGCCAGGCATATAGCACAAGAATTTACAAGATAAAATATAAATGCATATATATAGATATTAAATAATTGAAACGTATATATTTCAATCAATTTAAAAAAAAATTTATGTATTCACTTATTATTTTTTAATATTTTATCAACTGTTTAATATAAAAAAATTAATATTTTTTTTTTTTTAATATTAAAAATATAATGTTTTACACATTTCTCAATTTTTTTTGCAAAATTTTTAAAAACAATCTTTAATTAATAAAATGTCAAAATATATTTTTAAAAAAGTAAATATATAAGTATATATATTTATTAATATTCTTAATATTTTAAAAACTCTAAGAGTTCTTTGATCAGAAAAGCATTCAAGTTTCATATTAAAAGCACTAAAACATAAATACTAAAATAATATATTATTTATATTTTATTTCAATTTAATATTTAACTAGTTTTTAAATA